CTATATTCTCTGAACACCCATGAAGTTTAACATAGCCCATAGCTTCACATGTAATTATTCCCTATCCCTTCAATAAGTAATATTTAGTGAGTGCTGACTATATGCCAGACATTGACCTAAGCACAAGGGCAAGCACTGTGGGAAATGGCAATAGAAAATGGTCCCATCCCTTTGGTAATTTCCAGGGGTAGCAAAGAAGGTCCTTCCTTATGAGTCTCTTAACAAGTAAGAAATCTGACTTGTACATGAAATAGAGGAGCTCCAGCCCAGGAAACGCTAATCAGATTGTTTTGCTGGAGCACATCCTCCAATGGCTTCTCAATAAAACTTGTATGGAAGGTCAAACTTTGAGAGCCTACCTATGTGAAATGTCTTTATCCTTCCCTCAAGCCTGCCTGAGAGTTCGGCTGAATCCAGAATTCTGGGTGGGAATCCATTTCCCTTCAGAAGGCACTGCTTGATCCATTATCTTATAGTTTCCCAACAATCCTATAGTTCTTGACCCTATCTATGTGATTTGTAGATATTCTGTTGTCTTTGCAGTACTCAAAATTTTCATGATGATGTGCCTTGGCATGGCTATTTTTAAGTTAATTGTGCTGGATTCTTGGGGAGTACATTTAATGTGGAAACTCATGTCCTTTGGTTTTGAGAAATTTTATTTTGCATGATTTCTTCATGCCATCAATAACCACCCACCATCCCTCCTTGGTACAGACATCGGACATCTACAAACCTCTGTGTCATTCGGTCCTCAACATCCCTACAGATTTTGGATTCTGGATCATTGTGTCTTTTGCTATGACCATTCCCACCTTAATTCATGATAATCTCAATATGCACAGATATTCTTTCCACTCTCCTTATATCTCAGTTCCTTTACTCCTGTCTTCTAAAGAGGCCCTCTACCCTACCCCTCAGCTACTCGCTCCCATAGTGTCCACACCCAAGGAGCTCAACACAGCTGAAGGAAAAGCATACAACCATGCCGAGTTTCATCTTAAATTTATGACAACAAACACCAAATGGGTACTTTTGGTTCTGCCTGGAAATCCTAAAATATTTCCTTATCAGCTCATTTCCCCCACTCTCCTATATGAATGCGGCATCTTCTTTCTCCTCAAACTTCCAGCACCTCCCTCACTCTTCCTTTTTAGCTGACAGACTTCCTTCTTCTTTAGCTGAAAGCATAGACGTAATCAAAAGAGAACTTCCACTTATTTCCACCACAAAACCACCACTGCACCAGCATCTGTGTCTCTGTGATGAATTGTCCGTGCACTAATCCAGCCTGAGGTCAACATATCTATTTATATCCTAGACCCCATTCTCTCTCACCTATTCAAGGAATTCACCCCTGCAACTGTCCCTTCTCTCTCCTTAATCATCAGTTTGCCTCTCTGTATCCCATCAACTTACAAGCATGCTATAATTACAACCCACCTAAAAACAAGAACTCTAACACCCATGCCCTTCCAGCCATAGCCCTATTACTGTGCTTTCCCTCTTAACAATCCTTGAAAAAAAAATCACTATGAGTATCCATACTGCGCATCATCAATTCCCCTCCTGTTGTCTCTTGAATCAACTGCACCAAAAGTGTTCTTATCAAAGTCACCAGTGATCTCTACATGACCAAATCTGTCTATTCTCAGTCCTCATCAGTTCATCAACAATACTTATCATTTGGCTTTCCATAACTATCCTTGAATCTTCTGCTATGCCACAGTCTGGAAACCGTCTTCCCTCCGAAGCTGGATGGCATCATTACACTTGTGTTTTCTACAGGGGACACCAGGGCTTCAATGTTGGTCCTCTTCTCTATCTACATTTACTCTCTGCATCTCTACGTAGCCTCACAGCTTTAAATAAAAAATTGGGAATCATCAGCATATGAGTGGTATGTCCAGTCCCAATCTTTCTCCTGAACTCCGGACTTATATCCAACTCCTATCCAGTATCTCCACTTGGGTATCCACTAGGCAACTCAAAATGAACAAGGCCAAAACTGAACTCTCTTTTCTCCACAATCCTGCTCTTCTTCTAGTATTCCCAAGTCAGTAAATGGCAACTCCATTCTTTTAAGAGCTGAGCCCCAAATCGACTGTGCCCTCTTATATTATTGTTCCCTCAGCCCTATTTCTTCCTCAGTACTTATCTATCACCACTCTGTATTACAATTTTATTGTTTTAATCTCTTTCCACTTATTAAGGAGCTCTTTGAGGGAGGGGCCTGCCTTATTTGTTTGAATCCACAACACCTAGCACAGTGAATGTTGGATTGTTTGTATAAACAAGCAGTGAAATTAAACAAACACTGAGTAGGCACAGATCCCTCTGCAGAAAAAGATTTTGAAGTAGGAAAGCATATTTCGGCTATTTCCACTGGTTCCTTAGTACAAGTCAAGATAGTGACTTGATAGTAACTCCAAAATCTCAGTGGCTTGAAACAACAAAGGTGTACTTCTTGCTTACTCTACATGTTAATCATAAGTCACCTGGAAGCTTGTTCTGGGTCCCAGAAGGATGGACTAGCCATCATCTGAAGCATCAACAGTCGCCAAAACAGAGGGAGAGAGTGGTAAGTTACATACCAGAAGGTATATACATCATTCCTGCACACACTACACTGACCTACAGCAACTCACAGGGCCATACCTAAACCCAACTTCAAGGGGACAAGCAAGTACAGTTGTACCACATGCCTAGGAGACAGAAACCAAAAATATTTGATGGAGAACACTAATGACTACCATATCCTTAAAAAGAAGCCTCTAGTTCTAAGCAACAAGATTTTAACCCCTGATCTCTATTCCTCATCTGTGAAAATAAACACCACTGCTAAACCACACACTTGCAAAGCACTATCTCTGGGTCTTTAGGAATGTAACTTCACCAGTTAGGCCTGCCTCTTTCATCACTCCGGAATCAGAGTGCAGCAAAGAAGCCAGGTATAGGTAACAGGAAAATGCTGAGCCCAAACTTGCTAAAAATGTTCAATGTCAAAGTCAGGGAAAGGCTTGAATGGGTAAGAACAGCATGTTCAGTTGTGTAGAGGTGGGGAAAGGAGGGGAGCCTAAACCAAATTTCTTTCACCATAGGTACAAAACAGACAGGTGTTGGCGTTCCTTGCATTAATTACCCCTTGAAGACTAATAATTTTCTGAAGACTAACAAGCTTCACTCAAACCACTTGGTGGACAATTCTGAGTTTGATTAATAAGACTAACCAACATTTATCTTTTTAACATTAAACACACTACTTCGAAAAAAGCTTCACGCTGCCATTTTTTAGAAACAGGGAAAGCAGCAGTTATTTTAGAGATGGATTTTACTGGAACACTTTTTTTCCCATAAAAGTCTCAAAGACTCAAGATTCCTAAGCTCAGAATGACCTGGGATGAACCCCTAGTCTACACTGAGCCTAGATTTAACAGATGGCTGCTCCAAGTTCTAAAGTATTCTGAGCAGTTTCATTCTATGTAACGTTTAAATACTTTCATAGAGTGAAACTTGCTGCCAGAAATGTTAGGATGTTAGGATGCATTGGGGAGGGTTATCATAAGCAGCTAAATACTTGGGAACTGTTAAGTCCATCAGGAATTCCATTGAAGGACAGAGGAGAAGTTCAAACAATGTAACCTGCCAAATTAAAAGCAAATAAGGACTACCAAATGAACCATGGGAATCTAGCCTTACCTCCCCCATCTTTTATTCACTCAACAAACATGCATTAGTTGCTGGGGTTGGGGAAGGAATGCCAGGAAGAGAATAGGATTTTAAGATTTAGTTCTTGCTCTGCTTGAATTTGGTTTAGTTAAAATAACAACAACAACAACAAAAAGCCCAGATCGGTGAGCAAACAGTTAAAAATACAATGCCTTAATCTTCAAAACAAGGATATAGGAAAAGCAGTTCTAACATCTAAGTTCACAACTCCTTTCAAGGTAACAATACCATATTTGCTTTCCTAAGTGGTTAAAATAGAGAAAAAACAAACCAAAAAAAATCCTGTTCTGGGTTAATGGCAGTTTAGCAGTACCAAAGCCCACTTCCTTCTCCCTCCCTTCCTCCCTCCCTCTCAATGGTCTCTGCCAAACCCCTCCATCATTCCAACCTCCACATTCTGCAGGCGGTCCCAGACCAGCTCCATCACAAACAATGCCCAGACTATCAAGGTCAGCCCCAAAGGCACAAGGAGCAGAAATCGAAAAACGGATCTTCCTTTATGGAAAGGGGGTGGGGACCCTTCCCAATACCACCCTCCCCGTACTGAGGCACCCGGGAGTTCTGTCTCTAGGCTTAGGGGCATGGGGTCCGCCGCTTTCGGGGTCCCTAGGCCTCTTTTTCCTATCCACCCAGTTAATTTTCCCCACTTGCGCCCCTAATGACCTCCAACTCCCCTCAGCCTGAGCTCCCCATTGTGGATTGAGGGAGCTTCGCGATGTAGGCTGGAGCAGCGGGAGGTGAGAAAATGCGCAATAGGGAAGATGCTGTCAGTGTTTTGTGTGCATATAGGAATCAGGAGCGGGGTACTCTTTAGAGAAGCCTCTGTTAAAGGGAAAGGCTCTAGAGGAGACCTACGACAGGGGACATTAGAGGTAAGGTGTTTCTAGGGAAACACATTTAGGGGTTCTGCACAGAGGAGCTATTACGGGGAGTGTCTCTCTAGCAGTTTCTAGGCGCAGTAATCTAAGGGCAGGCAAGTGACCTATCCATAGAGAAGGCACTATGGAGATTCTCTACAGGGAAATCCTTGCTGGGGGAAACGTTCTATGGGGTGGTGATTTCGTAGTAGGGGTCCTTCACAAGGGAGCCGTTGTGGGAGCCTCTACACAGCATGCCGTTCCTGGGGAAACGTTCCTCAGGGAGCCGTTTAAGGAAAAACCATCCGCCTGGAAGCCATGCCCCGCCACGCCCTGTACCAGGAGGCGTCACCAGACCCCAACAACCCGCAATCCCGGGCCCGGCCACCCCTCTGCAGCCTCTGTCCCACGTACCTGACAGAGGGCGACCCGCGGCCAGAGCCGCTGGGGGACCACGCGCGGGGCAACCCCAGCCGGTGCGGAGAATACAAGTCCATGGCGGCGGACGGCGGGTGACGCAGGAGAAAGGTGCCGCTGTGAGGGGTCGCACAGGCCCGCAGGGCGGCTCCTGGGCCTCTGTGGCCAGGCGGGGCGACTGGGCGTGCCGGGTGGGCGGAGGGGGGGGGGCGCAGCGCGCTGGGGTACGTCGGAGACGGGGGCGGAGTCCGATGTAGGCTAGGCGATGGGGTGGGGGCGTGGCGACTAGCTAGGACAGGGGTTCTCGCACTGACACTGGGCCACGGTCTCCTTAAGCTGGGAGGTGTTTCGGCTGGACTCGGGATCGCTGGTATCCAGGGAGAAAGAGGGCTACCAAGCCGTCACTCTGCCCTTTCCTCAGGCCCCAGACCTTGGGGTGGGAATCTCTGTGGCGCCCCCATTCACGCACAAGAATGCGCCCGGGGGTGGGGCCTCGCTCCGCCCCGCCCCTCCCCGCCCCGCCCACTTGAGTCGGCTTCAACCTTCAGCAAAGCCTTCCTCTGCGACAGCCGACAGCCGGTTACAGCGACAGTACCTTAGTGCCTTACTTGCTTCTCGCGGTCTCCCAGGCGGTGCCTCGCTACTGTTTTCAAGCCCGCCGCTAATCAATTGGACGCCCTCCCTTCAAACTCATAAAGCCAACCTCCGGTTAGCAATACGTGCCCAGTTGCGTTCCAGACAGAGGCGCTAGAGGTTCATAAGGTCCTCCCAGAAGATCTCGGCTCATTTCTGTTCAGATCTTGACTTGACCTGTTTTCGACTGAAAGGCCGTAATCCCACCGATTCTCAGTCTTTTCATGTGTAAAACGAGGGAAATACGTCATTGACTGGGTCGCCAGGAGTCCTGCACATACAGGGTGTATGTAATGATTTTGTCCTGCGCCATATATTGACTTTGTCAGGATGCCTTAAATGTCCTGTATTAATCTTTTTGCAATCAATTACAAAATATTAAAGATATTTTTGCACCAAGGTAATTGGCGCTTAAATCACTTAAACTGGAATTCTAGCTGAAAATCCTACCTCCACAAGTAAAAGATCTGGGCAATCCTATGGTGTCTCCGGCAGGCTTAACTGAAGGAAGACCAAAAGAAGGGACTAGAAATTCAAAGTACTTATTTTTCAAATCCAAGGAAGGAAAAGACTTTTAGCTCAAGTTTAAAGTGGTGAAGAAGATAGAGATAACTTCGCATCAGTCCACAGACTCTGAAAATCAGCCAATCAGCGACAGCCTCACTCCAGTGGCTACTTATGAAAATCAGCCAGTCAACAACAGCTTCACTCCGGTAACCAAGCTTCTGAAAGTTAGTAAATCAATTACAGTCCTAAGCTTCTGAAAGTTAACCAATCATTGACAGCTCCAAGCTTCTAGACCACAGCCAATCGGCAAGTGCCTCATTCCAGGGACCAGGCTTCTGAAAGTTAGCTGGTCCTTAGTTTCCTTACAACAGTGACCACACTAATAGAGCCGCAAGTCCATCAATCGCTGGAGACTCTTGTTTCTGAAACTGTCAATCCTTGAACGCTAGTCTTCCCAAAACCTGTAAGATGAGTCCCGGCTTTGTTCAGGGAGACTGTGCCTTACAAGTACAGCTTTCCTTTGCTGACTGATGAGAAATTCGTCTTTACTTTGTATCAGATACTGAGTTCAACTTTCCTGCCCCCTGCCCGCGCAAGTTTGAAGTTTGCTACCCTTTCAAGATTCAATTCTTGCTGTTATTTACGAGTTTGGACTTGTGACAAATGCAATGAGATTTATCAAAGACAGTCTTTTCAATTCTTGTTATGGTTGCTATTATCTTTTTTTAACACTTCTATGGGTACGTTCATGAAATGGTGTAATCATTGCCAAAACCAATTTTAGAATGCTTTCATCACCCCCAAAAGAAACCCTGTGCCTTTTAACAGTCATTCCCCCATTCCTCTCCAACCATCCAGTCTTGGGCAACCACTCATTTTTCTTTCTACATATGGATTTGCCTATCCTGAACATTTCATCTAAACAGAAGCATACTATTTGTGGTCATTTGTGACTGACATTTCATTTAGCATAATTTTTACAAATGTCATACATGTAGTAGCACATATCAGAATTTCATTTTTTTCTGATTGAATAATATTCCGTTGCATGGATATATCACATCTTTCTTATCCATTTGTCGGTTGACGAACATTTGGGTTGTTTCCACTTTTTTACTATGTTTTTAAGCTAATGCTGCTATGAGCATTCTCATGCAAGTTTTTGTGTGGACATATGTTTTCAATTATCTTGGGTATATAACCTAGAAGTAGAATGACTGGGTCACATGGTAATTCTGTGTTTAAACTTTTGAGGAACTTCCAACCTGCTTCCCAAAGTGGCAGCACCATTTACATTCCCACCAGCAGCATATTCAAGTGTCAATTTCTCCACATTCTCGCCAATGCTGATTATCCATCTTTTTTATTACAGGCACTCTAATGGGTGTGAGTAGCATCTCCTTGTGGTTTTTTGTTTGTTTATATGTTTTATTTAGATTTTATTTTTATTGAGATAACATTGGTTTATAACACGTAAGTTTCAGGTGTAAATTAGAATTTGGCATCTGCATATATAACATCATGTCCTTACTACCATCATTGTGGTTTTGGTTTGCATTTCCCTGGTAGTTAATGATGTTGAGCATATTTTCATATGCTTATTAGCCATTTGTATAGCCTTTTGGGTATAATGTCTGTTCAGATCTATTGCCCACTTTTATTGTGTTGTCTTTTTATTAAGTTGTAATAGTTTTTTATATATTCTAGTTACAAGTCTCTTATCAGATATATGATTTGCAAAAATTTTCTTCATTCTGTGGGTTGCTTTTTTTTAAAAGATTTTATTTATTTATTTTTAGAGAGGGGGTGGAGGAAGAGAGAGGGGGTACAGAAACATCCATCTGTAGCATCTGTTACTTGCCTGGAGCAGGACCGAAACTGCGACCCCTGCCGGGTGACCTTTCACCTGGCTGGATGACACCCAACCAAATAAGGCACGCCAGTCAGAATTCTGTGAGTGGCCTTTTCACATTCCTGATCTGTGCCCTTTGAAGCACATTTGTTATTTTGATCATAACCCATTTATTCATTTTTTTCTATAGTTGCTTGTGCTTTCAGTGTCTTATTTAAGAAACCATTGCCTAAATGAAGGTCGTGAGGATTTTCCTCTACATTTTCTCCTAAAAGCTGAATAATTTTAGCTGTTACTTTTAGGTGTTTGATCGATTTTCGGTCAAATTTTATATTTGATGTAAAGGTAAGAGTTCAACTTCACTCTTTCACATGTGGCTATCCAGTTGTCTCAGCACCATTTCTTTAACAGACTATTCTTTTCCCATTGAATCAATTGTCTTGGCACCCTTATTGAAGATTGTGACCTCTTTTTTATTTGAATCCCAAAATGCAAAAATGCAAGTGTGAATTTTATGATGAATTTCCTGTACACTGGACATTTATCCAAGGAGAAACAAGCCCTTCTGAAGATCTTTGTGCAGTATGCAAGTGTTTGTTCAATATTGAAAATGGCAGATTAAGCCAGCATATAGTAAGAGCTAAGAATAAGAGATATGTGGTTTCCTGAACTTGTATCAAAGTAAACAATAAAACAAAATTTTCATTTAGGGAATTTAGATGAAGAAGATAGAATAATCACAGCAGAAGCTGTAATGGCCGCCCACATTGTATATTGTTATCAGTCTTTCAGCTCAGATGATTCTTTGAATGTACTGCCACCAGGAGTATTTTCTAATTCCAAAATTGCAAGCAAAATTCCAAATTCCAGGACAAAATTACTGCAGTAATTAAAAACATAATAACTCCATTTACTGTTGCAGTGATTATCAAATCTCTAAATGGCTCATCTTTGTTTGGCATCATCATGGATGCAAGTAATTACAATGCAAAAAAAATGTTTCCTTTGCTTGTAAATTACTCTTTTTGTAAAAAGGCTCATGTGTAAGGCTGTTTTGAATAAAATCCCTTCCAGATGAGAGAGGCTTCAGAAATGAACAATTTTTTACAGAGATTTTCTTATGGAGTTAGGAGTTAATGAGGAAAATTGTACTCTTTTGGTGGAAATAATACAAATGTAAATGTTGGTAGATGTTTGCATAAGATGCAGACATTATTTATTCAAAGTGGCAGTAAAGCATGAATGATTGTATGGAAGCTATTGGCTGTCCTGCTCGAATTCTGCATAATACTGCTCAAATAGCATCTGATGTCCTTCCTACTGACTTGGGTATAATTATTATGAGATTATTCTTTTATGCCAGCATTTATACTGTTCAAAATGACCAATTAAGGGATTTTTATGATTTCATAGGCATTCAGTATTCTTCATTTCTTTTGCCTTCAAAAACCTATGAACTCTCTTTAACAAATGGAGTTGAGAGAATCCTCATTTTAATAGAAGCACTGAAATCATGCTTTACTTCTAAAGAAAAGGCCTCCAAAATTCTTATTAATTTTTTAAATAATCTATTAAGGGAAACCCTATTTATTTTTTTTCATAGTTTACAATGATCTCTTTAGAATAGGGTTATGCAAACCTGAAAGAAAACAGTGTTTATTGAAGCAAGTCCATTGCTTAAGGAAACTGATGAATGCATTAATGGAAAAAAAATTATTCCTTTAAGTATTAAAGCTGATCTTAATAGAACCAGTACCTATGAACATGAAAAAAAAATTTTGACCTGAAGAGAGTGATCTTTATAGCGCTTGTCATGACTCCCTTTTGGAGTGGATCTCATCTCATGAGGAATTTTATTGGTTCTTTTACATTGATACTGCTAAGACTCTTCCAGCAGGGGAACAAGTGGAATCATGACATGTGGTGTTGAAGTAGAAAGGAATAAATATCGATGACAATGTTCTTTTTTGTCAGTGGACCAACCACATTTTAAAAAGTTATTGGCCAAGAGAAGCAATGTGATACTGAAGAAAGGAAAAACAAGTCATACCACGAAAAATGGTATTTGCTTCAACAAACCAAATTTATAAGAGCCATTTTCAGGGTGGTCAGCTTTATTCCAGTACATGTTAGAAATACTGGCTCATAACACTAACGTTGACCCTTTTTTTCTCATTAGTGAATGTTCAAA